CGGGCAGCCTCCGCGCCCGGCCCCGTTCCGGGGGCCCGGCGCGGCGCAGGGCATCTGGATGTGTCCGTCGACGACGGGGGGCCCGTCGGGTTTGGCTGTCAATGCGAGCCCCATGTCAGAGGAAAAGGGCACGCCGCGCGGGCAGAGTGCTGCTCATCCGCGTCTGGTTTCTGGCCCTGCGGTCTTCCTGTCCTCCTCCTCCTCCTCGTCCTCCTCCTCGTCCTTCTCCTCCTTCCCCTCCTCCTCCTCCTCCTCCTACTCCTCCTCATCCTCGGTGTCCTCCTCCTCCGCCTCCTCCTCCTCCTCCTTCTCCTGCTCCTCCTCCCTCCTCCTCCGCCTCCTCCTCCTCCTCCTCCTCCTCCTCTTTCACTCCCCCTCTCCCTCTCTTTGCTCCTCGTCGACCTCGGCCTCGGCCTCCTCCTCCTCCTCCTCCTCGTCGTCGTCGTCGTCGCCGTCGTCGTTGTCGTCGTCGTCGTCGTCGTCGTCGTCGTCGTCGTCGTCGTCATCCTTCTCCTCCTCCGCCTCCTCCTCATTTCTATCTCCCTTTCTCCCTCCCCCTGTCTTTCCCCCTCCCTCTCCTCATCCCCGAGGGACGGACGTAATTATGGAGGGGGGGAGGGGGATGAGGGTTACAGAAGGAAGGGGAGGTAGGGGGGAGCATGATGATGCTGCTGCTGATGATGGTGATTACGGCGACGACGTCGACGACGAGGAGGATGACTGTTGGTGGTCATAATGCTGATGACGCTTCTGCATCTCATCATCCCGATCCTGAAACCTGGGATGTGGTTTGAGAAGAGCCGAGGCCACGACCCCCGGTTCACACCTCAGCCTTGCGGCGCCCCAGCGCGCACCGTAGCGTCCGAGCTCTGGCCCCGCGAGGAGCAGCCGCGCGCGCCGGGCATGCGGATGCACGCCTCCCGCAACCGACGGGCCGACAAGCCTCGGCGCCCGAGCCCCCGAGAACGCGGCGCTGTGATCCACTGCGGCGAAGCCCGGCCCCTCGTGCGGCCAGGAGGAGGAGGAGGCGGAGGAGGAGGAGGAGGAGGAGGAGGAGGCGGAGGAGGAGGAGGAGGAGGAGGAGGAGGAGGAGGAGGGGCGTAGGAGGCGGGAGGCGTAGAGGAGAAGGAGGAGGAGGAGG